GTCCGAGTCATGGCCAACAGTCTGGGCGGTGTACTTACTACTGAAGAAAGGAACGAACGGGCCGAGACACTGAGAACTAGGGTGGAGGGCTGGTTTCATTTGTAGCTTTGGCATTAGATAATATCATTTTATGTTTTACTCCACCTTTAGTCCTCCATCTAAACCAGCAATCCTCCCTAGAGTGTCTGTGCAGGTGAATCTTTGAGCGAGGCACAAAATATAGGGCCTGAAGCTCTTTTTCAGGAAAAGGAGTTGCTTGTGAACCTCAGGAGGTCAACTGAATATTTTATGAGCTTTTCTATTTTACATAAGAGGTTAGCATTTGTTGTTTTGGTTGTCTAAATTGGCAACCTTGACTTTTATGGTCATTTCCTGGTCATCAGTGTATGTTATTAGTTCATGTTAGAATTACATTTAAATGTCTTGCTCCTCTTCTGATACACATTTGCTTTTCCACAGACCATGAAATTTGGGCACTTGCATTCAGCTTTTGTGGAAAAGTAGCATGCATAATTTAAATCTTTAAAGTATAAACTGTACTTGAACATAATATTAGGATTAATGAAATAAAAGACCACTTAAGTGACTTAAAGAGAGACACCTTTATCACCGTGTTTCTAAACACACTTAAGTGCACTTTTAAAATATGCGCTGTGATGTCAAATAAATATTTTTACTTCAAGTACATTTTAAAGCACTGTTTTACTCGTTTCTCGAGGTTTAAAGAAATACACTTATTTTGATTTGTTTAACATATAATTCATACAGTATGCAAAGTTAATATATTTTAAATGCACTACATTTAAGAAATGACATGATAAGTATATTTGAGTTTATCATAAATGCTCGTTAGAACATTCAGAAGTATTTTAACCATATTTCAAATAAAATAGAAGTATTATTATGAAATTATGAAATGACATAAAGATTAAAAAAAAAAAAACACTTAGAAGAGCTGCTTAGAAAATATTGATTGTGAACCTCAGGAGGTCAACTAAATATTTTTAGCTTTTATATTTTACATTTGTTTAGAGTTTTTTTTTTTTTTTTCTCTCAAACTACAGTTTGAGACTTGTATAAATTGACAACCTTGACTTTCATGATTTTGACATTTTCAGGGTAACAGGGTTAAGCTATCACTCAGAAGAAGTCTGTTTGGCATCAAAGAACATACAGGATTTTCTTCTCCAATGTTTCCCATCAAAACCATTGTACATACAAAGTAAGCTTTAGACAGAGAGGTATTTCCTATAGAGGAATTTCCAATTTCCAAATCAGAGAGATTTCTGATTGAACCGAATGATCAACATTATATTTTCAGTAAAAACGCACCATGCTGGCTGATCTTCATTGTATAATCGCTATACGTTTCTCCAGTACATCTGATCAAACATCTGAGAGGAAATCCTGAAAAACCCTCAACTTTTACTAACTTTACTCAATCAGTGTTAATTATTTATCGATGAGTGAGACGTGCTTTGCTTAGCTCAGATTCCACCCATCTTTTATAATATCTCGGCTCAGATATGCACGTGATATGTAAAATGAGAGCAATGGGTTAGGAAGACCTGGCTCTCAAAGCCAAGAGAAAGAGCGTGACGGCATCTCAGGGAGAGCAGGAGAAGGCTGGGAATATAAATGTTTAGTTGAGAAGCGCTCAGCATGTGAAGCCTCCACAATTAAGACTGTGGAAGCCGCTAGAATCCTGATGGCGCTTCAGAGCGCAGGTGTTTGTTCAGTATTCACAGAACGCTGCCACAGAAAGAGACAGACTTCTAAGCATTAAGTCATTAGAGATTGTAATTGGCAAGTGACTAATGGTTGCTAGACAAACTTCACAGAATGTCATTTAACAATGTGGATATTTTCAGAGGCAAAGTACATCGGCAGCAGATCAGGTGTTTGCTGGCAACTGCTGTTACCTCAGCGATCAAAACTTTGTCAGTGAAGTGAAGCAGAGTGTTTTCCCGATGGTTTGACTGAAATGACTTGCTCCTCTTCTGCTAAACGTTTGCTTTTCACTGACGTGACTTCAACGGCACAGACTTCAGTCTTCCACATTCAGCCCTTTTTTAAAAAGTGTCCTTGATTGTAATAAATGTGCACTTGCAGTGTACTTCCAATCTTAAAAGTATATTTTATATAAAAAAATGCATTTGCAAATAAAATTGTACTTAAGTGTGTTAAGAAACATGAAAGTTGTTCTCTTTAAGTCACTTAAGTGGCCTTTTATTTCAGTGATATTCAATAAAACAAAAGGCCACTTAAGTAATTGAAAGAGAGACACTTTCATGCCTGTTTCTAAACACACTTAAGTACACTTTTAAAAAAAGTGGCCTTTGTAATAATTTCAAATTAAAAGTTTGACTTAAAATTACATTTTACATAATGTTTTAATATTGTATTGTGTTTAAATAAGTACACTTATTTTGATGTGTTGACTAATACTAAAACCTGATTTTATTTTTACATTTAAAGTTAATATATTTTAAATTAAATTACACTAAATTTGCAAATGTGTCTAAATATATAAAATGCAAGTTTCAGTGACATTAAAGTATATTTGAGTTTATCATAAATGCATGTGAGTACATTCATCAATACTTTAACCATATTTCAAAGACAATAGAAGTAATTATGGAATTGCATATAAAGATGTGCTCAAGTCCTACTTAAGTGGGTCAAAAACACTCTAAAGTTCAGCAAATTGCACTTAGCTACTATAAATGCAATTGACATGCAATTAAATGTCCAGAAACATTACATTCAGATCACACTTAAGTATATTCTGTTAAAGCACATTATTTCCTTAAGTACTCTTTTAAAATATGCTAAAGTGTGCTTCTTTTTTCACACATCCTTGATCATGTTTCAATCTGAAAAAAGTGACTTTGAGGAAGTTCAGTGGCTTGTAAACACAGTTTCATGTTAACTTTTAACCTGCTGTCTAGTCTAGTTGCTGATATCCTGCAGTCAGTGATTATAAATGGCACAGATGTTTGAAATATTATAGTCGTCTGCATACAGGATGGACATAGTGCTGATTCCAGACACAGTTACTGCGAATGTGCTGTTTTGTGTGCTTCGGCTCCTCGTTAACATGCTGAGATGTTACAATTTTAATGCAAATAATAAACCAAGATGATGACAAAGGAGAGAGAAAGCCAGCAGGGGTTTATTAAATTTGTGCAGTTGAATATTTCCCTTCTTATACGTGACCCAGATTCAAGACGCAACGAGGCATTGACGGCTCATGACAGAGTTTTACAGGTCTGAGTCCAGATGAGGGACAGAAGCTGCTGGATGCTGTGAGCCGCAGCAATGCGATCCGGCCGCGTTGTCTTTTGTTTCTTCAGGAGCTGCTGCTCTCGTTTGCCCTGCAGCCAAACACAGTCCGACTTCAGCATACGAGACACTGTAACTGTATTGCTCTCTCCTTCCTGAGCTCTTTCTAAATTTAAACCGGCCCTTGCAGCTATGTGTTTCAGTTGTAGAGCAGCGAATAAAGGCAAACGAGCTGCTCTGGAATCAAATGTTCACTTCCTGGACTGGCATTCAATTAAAAGTCTTTGTCGTGGCCCCGTTTTTTTTAATAAGGCTCTGACTCACATTTAAGCACAATATAATGCACACGTCATTAATAAAGAGAAAAATGAGTAGTGTCTCTCTCTCTGTCCGACATTATTCTGCTCTCTCTTCATGCGCTAACAGTAAGTGACATGTCTGTCTGTGTGTGTGTGTGTGTGTGTGTGTGTGTGTGTGTGTCTGTGTGTGTGTGTGTCTGTGTCTGTGTCTGTGTGTGTGTGTGTGTGTGTGTGTGTGTGTGTGTGTGTCTGTGTGTGTGTGTTACCGGCTGACCTGAAGAGTCACACACACACACACACTATGAGGCTCTTCTGCAAGTGTGTGAGGTGAAAACTGCCTCTTCATTGTTTTCTATTTTAGACGCTGCTGAATCTCCAGCTCATCTGTGAAACACAGTGAAGCGTCACAATCACAGCTCTGCCGCTTCTGCGCGCGCTTTAAACCGCGAAGGATTACTCATAATATATATGATGTTATAGACATGAACCACTAGTTCTGCATCTTTAAAGAACTAGTGGTTCATGTCTCTAAAATCATAGGAATACAATGACACTTTGTGTTAGTGCTCTCGCATATAACAAGGAACGTTCTGGCAGTTCTCTCAAAGAACAACTTAATAGCACAAAAACATTATACATTGTTCGTGGAACTTTTTTTTCTGAAACATTTTAGTTGGACGTTCTTCTAAGGTGTTTTTTTCTGTTCTTTTCTTTTTTTTCAATGTTACTACTTGTTTCCTTACAGTTTGTATAACCAAGAAAAAAAAAAACATTTCACATTTTAATCAGAGAACAACATAAATAACATTTTAACGGGAACTATAGCAATACGTTCTTAGAATATATTTTTGTTAGTGTTCTTCCAGCGAACTTGAAACGTTCTGGCTAATATTTTCTCTCAAAGTTATGAACAAATGTCCAATAATGTTAACAAAATATTTGTTCAGTTGTCTGGGCTTTCATAATGTTCTCAAAATGGTATTTATACATCAATCATGGAACTATTTTTTTCTCTACTCGTTTCAGAACGTTCAGCAGTAACATTCATCTAATGATTGCAAAATGATAAAAGTGAATGTTAATTTAACGTTCAAATAACCAAGAGAAAAAAACATTCAAATTTTTTTTTTTTTTATGCAAAACGTTCTGTCGGTGTTTGTTCTTTTAGCTTGGAGAAGTTCTGAAATAAACAGAGCTGATCTCGTTTCTGTTATTCTAAACAGATAATAGATAAAGACAAAATCAACTGATCCGTCGATATGAGGCCTTTACTCGCAGCTGACGAGATGATATTAAATATCATGGTCCATCTGAATCAGATGAAGCTGTTTGCTCAGCCTGGAATGTGCGGCGCGTTTCTCCAGCCATCCGGCGGCGCGAGGCGGAACTGCAGGCGCGCGCGTCAGTCTCACACACACACACACACACACACACAGAGTCAGGTATCTCCTCTCCGCGTGCGCGTGTTTCTCTGTGATGCTCGCGGGCGTCGGACGCGCGGATGATCGCGGCTGATTGTCAGTGTGTGGAATAAGACGCTCTTCATCCTCATCTTCATCTTCATCCTCCTCATCGCGGCTGTTTCTGGCTGGAGTGACAGAAAGACATAAAACCTTCCTCCGGATCCTCAGCGCTCCTCTGAAGGCTTTTGGGTGAGTCTTCATCATGCTCTTCATCTTCTTCAGCATCTTCATCCTCCTCATCTTCCTCGTGCCGTACTGATGATTGTGTGCTTCTCTCGTGTGTTTCAGTCAGTGCTTTGTGATTCTTCAGCGTTCGGAGTAAGTACAGATACTTTCACTCTCTGTAAGTGTGTGTGTGTGTGATCGGGACATGTGTGCATAAACTCTCAGTGTGTGTGTGTGTGTGTATGTGAGCGAGAGAGAGATATGAGCTCAGACTCGTTCTGTCAGGAGTGTGTAAATGTGTGTGTGAACCGGACATGTGTGCAGGAAGTGTGTGTGTGTGCGCGTGTGTCTGTATTTCAGGTTTGTTGTTGTGGGATTTCTGTGTCTCTTATGATGATGATAAAAATGTCAGAAAAGCTTGTAGTGCGACACAAATAAGCCGCTGAGAGTGTGAGATGTGCACAAACTTACATCTGTGATCCTGTGAGGAGTGTGTGTGTGTGTGTGTGTGTGTGTGTTCTGGGTCAGTGGTGCTGCTGCGGTTGGTCATGGGATTTCTTGGTCTCTGATGAGGATGATGAAAAATGTCTGATCAGGCAGAAAAAGCTTTGGTGGGACACAAACTCCAATCCCTGGTCCAAGTGTGCGTGTGTGTGTGTGTGTGTGTGTGTGTTTAGCTATAATTTGGGACAAATTTGTCTCCAGAAGTGAAATCTGTCAAAACCTCTGTCCAGGGACATTCTCATTTGGATGATCATCATACTGTACATCATTTATTTATTTATTCAAAATTCTAAAAATGCATGACTTTTATTTAGTTCCCATTTGTAGCATAAATCATTCCGATCTTCATTAAAATGGCCAGAGGTTTGATGAAATGTGCTGATTTGCATAAATAACGGCGTGTGTTTGAGGGAGTTTGTGGTCATCCCGAACTCTTGAGGATCGTTTTTGCTGATCCCAGTCGAATCTCTCACTGTTCTCGTCAGTGTCTCGTGTGCTTTGTGATGTGAATTCATTATTTCTGTTCACATTAATGACTCTGAGCTCAATCAGCAGACACTCTTAATTAAAGACAGCTGCTGATCCACACCTTCATCATCATCATCATCATCATCACTTAGACTTTATTTAACAGTGATGACTGTATTTCTCATCATTTTACACTCGAGCTGTCGTGTTGTTTTGAACGTCTCTGTCTGTACTGTATTTGATCCGTTCTCTCCGGGGCTCCGGTGATGTTTTTTTTCTATCAGTAAAGCAGCGGCTTACAGAACAGTGGGATTTGGGACTGTGTGAGTGTGTGTGTGTGTGTGTGTGTGTGTGTGTGAGTGTGTGTGTCTCATTCATTTGGATTGTGGGATCCTGCGAGTGCTGTGATTACTGGAGGAGCGGCGTGGGGCTCGTGGATCGGGATTAGGCATGCCCTCCTCATGGATAACACCCATGGCTCTCTGCTCGGAGCGCTGGGCTGTTCAAAGCTTGAAGCAGAAAGATAAAAACTCAAATGGAAAATGTTTTAGGGGGAGAGCTGCTAACGGCTCAAATGTTCATGCAAATGGCGAGAAGGTTGATGTTTCTGAGTTTGAGATGTGCAGCGTATGTGAAAGTCACGGCTGAATCTGCGAACATCTCTTTAGATGTGTTTAATAACACTGCGGTGAAATGAAGGCATTTGTGTTTGAGCTCAATTTATTCTGACCATTAAAATGCCACAGTCTGAATATTTCACAGTGTGTGTGTGTGTTTTACACATTTTGTGCAGTTATGTCATTCTGTTTAGCAGCCTCTCTCTCTCTCTCTCACACACACATACACACAGACACACACACACACACACAAGCACACGCACACACAAACACGTGCGCACACATACACACAAACACACACACACGCACACGCGCACACAAACACGCGCGCACACATACACACAAACACACACACACACACGCAC